GTAGCATCTTTTTTTTTACAGATAACAGAGTAAAAATCAGACAGGAACTTCGAGACGCAGGAGTATGGAGGACCCCCCTCGAAGGAAACTCTTGAGGAGGCCATCCTCCATGTGATGAGACACCCTTTTGCAATTTGAAGGACGAGTATACCGGCAAACCAAGGGTACAGCGATAGGAGCATCCAGTAGGGTGACAATCGCTGAAATATTTGTGCATGTAGTGTTGGAGAGGAAACGATCCCACAGGAAGGACGGACCGGCGGTATATTTCCGCTACATAGACGACATCTTCGGAATAATGGAGGACGGTTTCCCGCGCCTAGAAGGTTTCTTTCTATGGTCAAACACAGTTTATGAAAACTTACCCTCGAACACAGTGACTCAATGATAAATTTCCTACATACAACAGTGTATATAGACCCGCTAACCAGGGATCTGCATACGAAGGCATACTATAAACCGACTAACCTTCACACGTATCTGAAATTTGACTCGAGCCACCCACTAGCCTTGAAGAAATCGCTACCCAACTCACTTGGACTCAGACTCAAGGTCAAGGTGGGATGCCTGGTCAACCAGGCGTCCAACAGCCTGGTTGACCAGCCCAGCAACCAGGAGGCCTGGTCGACGACCGGGCCGCGGGGACGCTAAGCCCCGGAAGCACCTCAAGGTAAGGTAACAATGGTAGTGGACCATATGGACAATATAAAGTGGAAAAGGCAGTATATAAATCACCACAGCAAGAGACTTGCAACACAGCTGCGCAACTTCAAGAAATCAGCTGTCCAAGTGAAGGTGCGAAAAGGGAAGAAGAGATGAATGTTACTGGTAACAGAAATTCACTGACAAGATCATTCTGAAGTTGTCAGGGTACTTCACAAAAGTAATCAGGGACAATATAAACACTGACCGGGAATACACGAGGAATGCATGCCTGTCCGAACTGTTCCATGCAACGTCCACAGATGAAAAGCCAATGCACGTGATTTGGCAAATTGGCACGTGAAGCCAATTTGCACGTAGTCTTTGCCCTAAAGGCAAAGACTACGTTTCGCGTTTCTACGAATAAGACAGCAAATGTTAAGTCCCCTTGATCACATAGCGAAATGCTTGTACAATTCTAGCTACCGAACAATCACATGACTGAAGTCTGGAAGATATACATACATCTTGTATCTGAGAACAAAGTGTCTGAAGGTGTAGAATTTAAATGAGTGTCTACACCACGGAGATTGGAAACACATCCCCCAGAGATTATTTGTCATTATATAATGGAATGTGAAAAAATCGCGGAATTTAGAGATAACACCATCAATAGTGTCCAAGAAATGTGTAAGTTCTTCATTCATAATGATGTGCTGCCCGAAATCTTAGCGAAGTATCCAAAATTTGCTTACTGTAGGTAATGCATGCACATGACTGTAAAGCTGCCGCCCAGTTGGGTGGGTGTGGAGCACATGACTGTAAAGCTGCCGCCCAGTTGGGTGGGTGTGCAGCAAGACTAGTAACTGTGTGACTATCATAGATGTAAAGTGCCTTGTATAGGGACTGTTGTGAGCCTCTTGTTGATCACTTGTTACACAAAAGATCACTGATGTGTGTATTTGTGTGGGTGATTAAATATGTATGTGTATGTATATATGTATACGTATATATATATATATATGTACATGTATATATAACATTAATAATTTTGTAACTAGCGTCAAAAAATTGTCATTTGCTTAGCTAAACGAACTAGAGGGTTCCTGTATAAACATAATCGGTTCAGTTCCTGAACCGATTATGTGCCTCTGTAATCCTTTACACCACCGCCCACGGGATGGGTATGGGGTGCATAATAAAGAAAAAATTGAATCGGTATGACCATTATTGACTTTAGCATGACCCACAGAGCCACAAAGTACAACGGCGAGTATTAGTGAAGGGGACCCTGCCCAGCATCGCTGGACTTCCTCCTAATAACAGGCCTGAATGGTACTTCAACATCAAGGATATGCAACAACCTACAAGCCGAACCTTGTTGATGGGGTTCGAGAGTTCTTCTATTCTCCAAGCCCGGCCCGAGGCCAAGCTTGACTTGTGAGCGTTTGGTCCACCAGGCTGTTGTTTGCAGCGGCCCGTAGGTCCATATATCGACCACAGCCCGGTTGGTCCGGCACTCCTTGGAGAAAATTATCTAGTTTTCTCTTGAAGATGTCCACGGTTGTTCCGGCAATATTTCTTATGCTCGCTGGGAGGGTGTTGAACTATGGACCTCTGATGTTTATACTGTGTTTTCTGATTGTGCCTATGGCACCTCTGCTCCTCACTGGTTCTATTCTGAACTTTCTTCCATATCGTTCACTCCAGTATGTTATTATTTGATCTCTCGGCTTCTTTCTAGCGAGTACATTTAGAGAGCATTGAGACGATCCCAATAATTTAAGTGTTTTATTGCGTCTATGCGTGCTGTATGTGTTCACTGTACTCCCTCCATTTCAGCAATCTCTCCTGCTCTGAAGGGGAGAGTATTCAAGACGGGACAGTAAAAGTAATTTTGCATAGTACAACTACTGTGATGGGATCCCTGGATTTGAAAGTTCTCGTAATCCATCCGATCATTTTTCTGGCTGACGCAATATTTGCTTGGTTATGCTCCCTAAACGTTAGGTAGTCCAACCCGTTCTCGCACTTTTAACCTATTACAGGTTAAGTAATAATCGTAATTACAAAGCAATAAGATGCTTATCTTAACATACTAAGGTTAGGTAAACTCGGTGTTTTCTATGAAGCTTTTCAAGGTAAACTAAAATATTAACAATAAATTAGTATGTCACATATGCACGTAATTAATAAGTCAATACTGACTATAAGAAAGTGCGAGAACGGATTGGGTAGTCAGACATCAGTATTCCCAAATCCTTTACATGCTGCCTTCCTACTATGGGCACATTTGATTATGCTTTGTAACCTGTATTATTTTTAAGGTCCTCTTTTTACCGTACCCGAGTACACTGATAATCATATTTTTTGTTACCCAGTCGAAAACTTTATTAATATCTGCTTGAAATTTTCCAATGTCTTCAGCAGAACTAATTTTCATGCTGATTTTTGCATCTACTGCAAAGGATAATACGAAGCTGTGACTGGTATTTTTGGCTATATCTGATATGAGAATAAGGAAAAACAGTGGAGCAAGGACTGTGCCTTAAGGTATAGAGCGTTTAATTGCACTTGAGACTATTTTATATGATTGACTGTTACTCATTGTCCTGTGTTGACAGAAAACTGATTATCCAGCGTGTTACTTCTATTACTTTGTCATTTATTTTTAGCCTTTGCGAAGTCAGTGTATACCACATCAGCATTGTTTTTCTTCTAATGCCTGTGATTTTATCGTAATGATCAAGTAGCTGTGACAGGTACGATCTTACCGCAATGTTGGCCTGGGCTGTGGTCATTGGTCTTCAAGAAATTGGTGACCTGACTCCTAATCACACTCAAATACTTTTAGTATGTGGGACGTTAGTGCAAGTTATAATTCTTTGCTCCTTTTGTAAAGGGACTATGACTGCTGGTGGGACCTATGCCTGAGCTACTGGCACCTTACATTTCTATAAAATTAATTGAATTCCATGAAGCTGGACCCAGAGCTGGGTACATGAGCATGTTCTCAATTCCACTTTCAAAATTTAATATGCTCGCGATTATATCGGTTATATTTACAGGGGTTTGGATATAACGCATAAAAAAAATTGTATCTTCCACTTCATGCTTATTGGAGTGCTAAACATGCCCCCATACTGCTTTCTTAGGATTTCACTAATCTCTCATCCTCCGTGTATGAACCTTCACCCGTACGAATATGTACAATACTGGCAGCGGTCTTGCTTTTGACCCTGGGGCTAGTGCCTATTGGCATTGTGGGTCTTTAATTAATAAGGGGGCATTGAAGTTTGGGTAAATTATAATGGGATAGCATGTTCCTGCTTTACCTTGCTGCCAAATAAACAAAAAACAGATTCAATTCTATACGCACTCCTATCTGTAAGGGTAACAATTTCTATGGAAATCTGTCTACGTGAAGCTCAGCCCCAAGTGGCAGAATCTTCACAGGTTGAATAATTAGACTTCACTGTGCTACAAGTTTCAAGCTTTTTAACTTATTAAATTCACACCTTGTACGCAGAGCTTAGGGGTCTACAAATTGCAACACTTATTCCGTAAATTCAACTCTACTTTATAAATACTTGTATACAACAGTGTCGCACAATTGTGTTTTATGGGAGGGAGGGGAATTTTTTTTAACAATACCAGTCTTTAATCAAAATGGATAAATTATATATATCTTATTTGCCTCCATTAACGCTCCTCTAAGGTAGTTTGTTGCTACACATTCCAAGAGAGTAAAGTAGTAGATCGGCTGCGACCGTCTGGCAGCAGACATGCCAAATTTCTGGGTACACAAATATCCCAGTTACATCTGCAACCTAGACGAAGACTACATAATCGAACTGCTAATTCCATGCTAGATATTTAAACCCAACATGGTATCCAAAGATATCTACCATATTGCAGAGGGCGAATCTTCTGCTACCATGTTGTACATAGGTATTAATTAATGTTTTTTTAATTGTTTTCATGTACTCCAGGCTGGGCTGGATTGTTGTGGATCAACGGACGAGTTCCCAAACTTGGCAGTTATATCGCCTTTCGTTTATTAAGATTCCAACATGAGATGGGATCAGTTTGGGGCTATACCGAGTACATTGCATCCGGGTCACAAGACCACTCAACAAAATCCTTGACGAGATATCACTCGCCCTGTATAAATGATCTCGAACAGTCATCCTCAGTAATATTTGGTTCAATTACGCCCAAATACCACCCCCTAGTTAAGTACCTACAAGTATGTCTAATGTGTCTTAAATGAACATTTGCAAGTTACAACTTGGCCTGCTCAACATATTATGTAGTATCACTAGAGAGCAAATTATGGGGTTATTAAACTAGTTTAATCAAGTAGTCATGGATATATTAAGACAATACCACTTGCCTTTCAAACAGTCTTGATCACTACAGATGTTACAAATTTTACACAAATGAAGTGAATTGCAATAGGTTATGCAAATGAAATTCAATATGCCTAGACCATACAACTCGTTCCATAAATCCAACTACATTTCCATCACTAGATAATGAACTGCAACTTAATTGCAGTGCAAAAAACTTATTTTAATAGTCCTGGGTTTACAAAGTCCTTTGGTCCATACATTTTTTTAGACACTGAAAAATAAAATCCTCTATACAATATAAATATCATAGGAAACATTTCCTAAAATGACAATGGAATATTTGGTTAAATCAAAATTGATAGCGACATGTGGGATATGACTGAATACCGACTTTAGGACTGAGGTTTACTAACAATGATGTCGTTGGCTTAAACACACTGCAGTCCTGTAGACAAGGAGGAATGGTGCAGTGTCCCCACACTGTAATGATGGGTGAGTCGAACTTAACCTACCCTTGACAACCGGGCCTGTCAAGTACTTAGTGGAAACGTGCGCAACCTCTAACTTCCTAGAAAGGGGATTGTGCAGCAGTAAGTGGTCACCTCCAGTCCAGACTTCAGTAAGCTGTAATAGATACCAACAGTGTCAATGATAATCTAAAAAAAAAACTAAAAAAACTCAAGAAGTATCCCTATCAGGGATACCGTACTACTCATAACTACTGAATAGAACACCTCACTTGCCAAACATGCCATGCTATCTTAAAAATTCACTTCAAAGACTACGTCAGAATGTTGGACGAGGGAAATTCTAATTTTGTGATACAGTATACTATGATCAAGAAGAAATATTTTAGATACATTTATTGTGAGAAACCTTGCCAAGTGAGGCCCCACCATCAGTTCAGTTACAAGATAACTTGGAAGAATGGATGACACTGGTTTCGGTGAAGAGTTGCTGAGACAGAGTTTAGGCAGCCACTTGGCAAGGCCCCAGTTGAAGAGCAGTAGGCAGGAGTTTGACTAGGGCAGCCGCGGCCAGTTCAGGGCACTAGGCATGGCCCCCATTATGCCTAGGCCACCAACAGCACCAGCTCCAGAGGCAGGTTGGTTGAACGTGGTAGCTCCGGCTTTCTGGACAGGTGGACGTTGGGGTCCATTAAACTGGTTCTGTGTAGTTGCTTGGCGGGTTGAAGCCTTCATAGACCCAGGACCCATGAGCGGAGGAGGACCATTCAGTCTGGTTTGGCCTGTACCCACCCCATTGGACACAGCACTGCTATTGCCTCCGCCTCTAAACTGGTTAAATCTTCCAAGCCCTTCAGACGTACCATAGCTGTTTCCATTGCTGTAGCCGTTCCTTCCTCCTCCACCACCACCACCACCACCCACACGGCCACGATCACGATCACGCCCAAAACCTCTTCTGTCATCATCACGGCCCCTCCAACGATTACGTCCTGTAAATTAAAATGAAAAACTATACTGAAACGTAACATGTGCAGTACAATGGACATGTACAATGCAGCACAAAGATTTGTTGAGGTTGTAGCCAATATCAAAGTTCATAAACCATCATTGAATTGTAATAAACAGGTGGGCTGAGAAAAGACTGCTCTAAGGTATATGTAGGAATAAATTACAGCAGTGAGTAGTTTAGCTTCAGTAATGTCTGAAGAACTGTGATCTCTGTACTAAGTTACAATTATACACCTTGCCATTATTTTTTCCCATTTTAAATATTTTTGGAAGAAATTGTCAAAGAAGGCACCAAGCAGGGAAGGGCATGTAGCACCAACAAATGTGCGGGATAATCAGAGGGCGCTAAATGTCACTGAGGATGCCAATGAGAAACGCACAAGACGAATGATATCAAAAGTATCCAATTCACCAAGAATTCTATCGAGGGACAAGTGACCGCCAGGGACGGTCGGAAAGCAAGACACGCTCGTCCTGGAAGTAGACACATCCAACAAGGATATGCGTAATGCATAAGAGGGACAATGCAGTTAGGACAATAAGGAGCAGGACGGTGCTCCATCCGGTGTCCATGAGTTAAGCGCGTATGGCCAATACGCAACCTTGCTAGAGCACTTTCCCCACCTCCGGTGACGGTAGTAGGATGGCCACAGGGCCACTATTCTTTAGAGTACGCAGTTTGTTACCAGTAACAGAAGACCAACAACCCTGCAAGGATGGAGGAATTAATAACTGGGTAAAAATCAGAATAAGGAATAACTTTACGGGAGACAACTGCGAATAGCTTCCCTAGTGGCAGCATCTGTATGCTCATTTAAAGACACCAATATGGCTTGGAACCCAGCAAAACTCATCTTAAATCTACTAGATAAGAAACAGCCATGTTGAATCTCTACTACCACCGTATGGACTGGATTAAAGAACTCCAGAGCCATGAGCACTGCAAGTCAACTACAACCCCAAAGGAGGAGTGACAGCGAGAAAGCAGGAGACGAAGAGCAAAGAGAATAGCATAATGTTCTGCCGTGAACGTTCCATCACAATGGTTGTACAGTACTATTCAAATCACTTGTCTGTCCCATCTTGAGTACTGCTCAGTACTCACTCTCCCCTTCAGAGCAGGGGTGATTGCTGAAACGAGAGAAATAATATACACATGGAAAATACTGAAGGGCCAAGTACCAAATCTACGCAGTAAAATAACAACGTACTGGAGTGAACGATATGGAAGAAAATGCAGAATAGAACTACTGAAGAGCAGGAGTGCCATAGGCACAATCAGAGAACACTGTATAAACATCAGAGGTCCATGGTTGTTCAACGTCCTCCCAGCGAGCATAAGAAATATTGCTGGAACAACCTTGGACATCTTAGAGAGAAAACTAGATTCCATTAACAGCGCCAACCGAGTATTCTCGGTCAGCGGGAAACTGCGCCAACCGAGAAAACCGATTTTTCGGTACCAATTCTAAATGTGTACGAGGTTGGTCCTTAGCTTTACGGGAGATGGAACAAGCGTGGATAGTCTCCTTAGCGGCAGCATCTGCATGCTTATTTAAGGACAATATGGCTGGGAACTCAGCAAAACTCGACTGTTTTAAATCTCCTGGAGATAAGAAACAGCCAATGTTAAATTCCAACTACAAGAGGATGGACTGGATTAATGAATTGTGCAAGACAGCAGTGTCCATGGTGATCCTGTAGGCAGAGGATGCCAGTTTCACCATGGCATTTCAAAAGGAGTCAAATGAAAGGCACCAGAGCAGAGGCATAACCCAGTATGGTGCAGAGCATCAAGATGGCCAAGAGTAGGAGAAGCAGACAAATAAGCAGGACAACCATAACTAAGGAGCCCGGTGCATGAGTATTTTCCAAAGTATGAAAAATGTTAAGACAAAATTCCAGTTATTTGGCGTCGTCATGAAAATTTCAGCAATATTTTGTTTTTATGTTTTTCTGTTCATAGCATTGTTCTTAATAAAAGCATTCAATTTGGAGGCAAGAGGTATGGGGCGACCAAGACAAACGAATGTCAAAGATAAACCCCAAAAGCTTGGCAGAATCTTGGTACAAAAGGGGATTGCCATAAAGTGACAAAGGGAGACATAACAGCCTGCTCCAGAGTAGTCATTGCACAAATTTTAGTTGTAGAAAGCCTAAGCCATGATTGGTGAAGATTACCACAATAAGGCCAAAAGAACAGCTGGGATAAAATATGGTATCGCCAGGTGGTGTCATGCCTTTTCCAGGTCAAAAAGGACAGCAACAATGGAGGTCTTCACAACAAAGACTACCAATGTAGATCAAGTTCACAAGACATCAGTCATGCTGCGACACTTGCGAAAGCCATATTTAGGAGGAGGTGGTGTCAAAAACGAGAAGACATTGTCATGCAGTTTGCAGTCCCAACTCTCGAGGGCAATTGGTCAGAAGTTCTTATGAGGGCATCCCTAGAGACCATGGCTTCCTAATAGGAAGAACCAAGTGCCTCGAGCCAGTCCTCAGGGACTGACGACGACTCCCAGATATGGTTATAGATTCAGTAAATACTGAAACGCACATGGGAGAGTAGAGATGGCGAAGCATCTCAATGAATGTCATCGGGGCCTGCTACCATAGAACCGCAGTGGGTCAGGGCAAACTGTATATCCTTGCAAAAATCTGAGGGACAAGATTCAAGGGGCTTACAAATAAATAAGGATGGATAAAGATGAGAACTGGAGAGGTTGGAAATAGTAGTATGTAGGGTGAAGATTCCAGCCAGCCTTTGCAAACTGCCACCCATGGATAGTGAAGAGAAAAAGGTGAAATAGAGAGAACAAGTAGAGATCAAGACAGGAGAGGTTACGAGTGCAAGAGTTAACATGGTGTTTGTCAGAACAGTGCCCCAGAGGGTATGACAAGTTAAAATCACTCAAAAGGATCACAAGTTCAGGTAAGGAGTCTAACAGGCATTTTAAGATCAGAACAAGAAAGTGGAACATTTGGGGGAGAGAAATGGAACAGACTGTTTAACATTTACTCACAAAGATATAGGCCACAGAACACAATGTGTAACAGAAAAAGTAAAGTGGCCGAATTGATATATCAAATCAAGAGCTCCAGCAAAAGCTGGAGGGGCGGAGAAGAGGAATAACCACAGAAGTGACCAGGACAAGCACCAAGCATCGGCTTGTTGACAAAGTGGTGAAAACTGCGTTATCAGAAGTTTGCATAAAATCCATGAATATTTCATTGAAGTAGGATCAGTGAAACCGGGGTTAAGGGGCCATGGGGAAAATCTAGCAAAGATGGAGTCAATGGAGCAGCAGGATGGACCAGAGGCAGATTGAGAGTCCGAAGTGGACATGCAAGACTGGTAAGCAGTCAAGTCAGGGGGGAGGGGCAAACAGTGGAGCGCACCTCAACAAGGGCAGCTTCAGAGGAAATTGAGGACTAAGAGAAACGGACAACAGACCTTAACAGACAACAAGAGAAGGATTGGGGCGAGAACTAAAAGAGGGCAAAGGAGACAGTAAAGAAAGGAAGGAAACAAGATGGAGAACTAGGAGGAAGTCCCTCTGGCTCCGAACATAAGAGAGCTGGTGAGGCGTAAGTGTCCAAGTCTAAGAGCTGGAAATCATTGCAAAACAAAGTGGGAGAGGGAGAGAAGTGGAATGCAATGAAAAGCATAAGATATGCCAGAGGAAGAGGGAAGATAGCATACTTGGCATCGAGCGTAAGGAAAAGATAAATGATCGCGATGTTCCAAATTGAAGATGGCTTCCTCAAATTCGTAATGTACACATGCGCGGGAGAAGATAGCATGGACATGACCATGACCTCAATTAAGGAGGCGTCTGGTTCGAAAAATGCAATAAATGAAAACTCGATTTCAAACTTTTTTGACAAGTTCTATATGAAAAGTGTTTCATCTGGTCCAAGTTTCAGCATCGTAGCATAAATAGGAAGGGAGAAAAAAAATATTGAAGTAGTTGTGAAAATTAAGCCAAAATGATCAAAATCGATTATCAAACAAAAGTGTCAACTGAAATCATAGCTATGACTTTGCTATCACAGTAGCATATATTAAACAAATATTATAATTAGTTTAATTGGAAAAAACTTGAAAAAAGTTCGGACGATTTGCATCAAACTTACACACCTGACTGCACGTAAGCCTATCTGTAAGGATGCCAATTTTGGAGAAAATTGGTTGATGTCAACCTCAGCCACAGATTTTAGAACCTTAGACTTTATTCATTTGTTTTTGTTTTCCAATTGACACATAAGTTTACAAAACAGTTTCATTTTTTATTCAATTTACATGAAACTTACACAGTATATGTGGAGGACATGTCTCTACATTTGCTAGAGAGCATTTTTCTCTAAGTTCATTTATTGATTTTATAATAGCAATAAACATGCCATATTTGCATAATTTTTGGGGGGAACTTTGAACATTTGTATTAACTAAAGATGTTTTGGAAATTCTGAAACTAGCAATCCTTTATTATATGCTAATGTGTCAGAAAAGTGTCACGGAATACTTATATCTGAAACGTGTGTTCTCAAGTGTAGACTTGAAAATGTGTAAAAAACGTTGAAAAAAAATCTCGCTTTCTATTTACACTGTAGTACTGAAACTTGGGACAATTTCAGCACTTTTCATATACAACTAGTCAAAAAATATTGGTTGACATTGAACAACTTTTCCTAAACCAACCAGTCACCCCCTTAAAGCAGTGGTCTTGGGAAGAACACACTTAGAATGACCAGTCTCCACACAAGGGGCACACACCTCACTTGTGGATTTGAAAGGACTATGCCCAAATATCCAGCACCTATTGCAGAGGTGAGGATAGATGGGGAAGGGGATGTCCCTCCTCTCCTTTGCCCCAGCCGGGACACCCAACCATTCCCCAAGGGCAGCCTCTCCTGCGAGTGACTGGGAGATAGATCCCTACAGGTGTGTACCATAGCACATACAACAACACCCAGCCACCACAACAAATTGACACTTTGGAGGGAGTTGGAGTAGAAGAACTCCCAGAACCCCATCTAGGTACAAACCTTCCTCCAGGTAATCAGCAAATCCAGATAATGAAGCTTGTACTGTCAATTAGTTATTACTAAATATAGCAGCATCATGATATCTGAAGTTAAACCCTATCAATTCCCAAGAATTTTGTATATGGTGATCATGTCTCCCCAAGCTCTTATATTCTAGCAACATGAGGTGCAATTCATGCAGATTTCCTCTTAGTTTTATTTGCTAAACACCTCAAATGTCTGGAATGACCAACTTATTCAATACAATTATGATATTTGCTAAATCTATAAGCATATTGAATTACATACATTACAAATCTAAAACTAAACTATAGAATACCCCTTACCTTTGCCAAACCCACGTCCCATGTCCATGATCTCATAAAGCCGTGGGTTTACCACTTGATTTGCCTCCTTTAGCACTTCTATCAGATCTTTAGCCTGTTTGCCATTGTCCGCTGTTAAGAACGTGTATGCAGTACCAGTCTTGTCTGACCTGCCAGTTCGCCCAATGCGATGGACATAATCTTCAGAGCATGACGGGTAGTCATAGTTGATCACGAACTTGACATCATCCACATCTACAAATAAAAAGCAATTTTACAAAACCAATCAGGGTAAGTCAACAAACTAACAATAAGGTATAAGCAACAAAATAAGTAATTCAGGTATTTTATTAATCAACTTTAAATAACATTTTTAAAATGTTCCCTGGCCCACTTCACAAAACAGCAGTTATTCGCATGTACGGTAAGAAGACGGGTCAGGACAAAACTACAATTATAATATGAATATGAAATGGCCCATAAAAGGATGAATTCCAAGAAAAACAGATCGCATTTCTTTATTTTCATCATTAAACAAGCCTCTTGCACAACACCTGTGGCTGGATACACTCGAGCCCTCATTGGGTGCACACTCATGACAATTTCATTTATCGTTAAAATTAAAAATAGATCAAGAGCATTTGACTAGAACCTAGAAAGTACTGTGAGCATGCACCCCACATGCCCCCAGCAACCACTGCTTCCCGCAGAGATACCTACGTTCATGTGGCAGAGCGGGAGGGGCAGCGGCAAGTGGGGGCCGGGGTGGACCCTAAAGGATCATCATTCCCTGGGCTGAGGGCCCTGTGTTTGGGGGTCAGAGCTGCACAAGGGCCAGTTCAGGCCCCATGAACCACATGTTGGGCTTGTGGCTTGTCACGATGCTACAGTAGTGACTCAATTGACAGTTCCAGGATGGACACGCCAGGTGAGACCAGTGCGGCCTGCTGCAGACTAGAGTGGGTCGGAGGAGACCAACACAGGCTGCAGGCGACCGTAAACTTTGGTCATCGTTGACCTCTGCCACATCCTGAAGGTCAAGGTAACATAGCCATCTGTCTGGTGGCACCAGTGGACACCTGGCACCACTGCTCATTCATGCTCAGTGATGCACGAAGTCTCAAGAGGCACCGGAGCCTAATGCAACGAAACATCCTCCGTGCATTACCTCTGAGTGCCTCTGCAAAAGAGAAGACCAGACTGAATTAACAGTGGCTCCATGCAAGGGAACGGCTTCCTTAACCTCTGGAGGAACCCACAATTATCTAAGGGAGGCTTTTTTATATGTCAGTATAGTCAGCGATGTCACATACCCAATAATAAGCTAGCATATGACAGCCTTAGTTAAAGTAAACTTACATTAAACCTATTTAGAAAAAAATTCACTTTTATATCTTCTAAAATGTAGATCTAAACTGCATATCGTATTTACTGTCCTCAACACAGATAATACATCAACTCCCTAGCAAGGCTTCTTGATGTAAAATCACCATTTGGAGGAAGTCAGTTTTCCCATAATAATGTTTGTAAAATTTGTATAGCCAGTCCAGATCTTCCTTAGAGCCAATACATAAATATGGTCACAAATAAATGAAAATCTTTAAATAATTGAGTAATGATCTGAAGGAGCATTAATAAAGGCGTCACAACATGTCTGGACAATGATGCATGCTTACACCTGCATCATGACCATCACTCCAGAACCTTAAGAAGCTATAGACAACCACAAGTGTGGAGCCTGTGTCTTCATCATACAGGTGGAAACCGTAGTCACTGTCAGCATGTGTGATCACCTGCAGTTATCGCTTCAAGCCAAACGCTTTTTCCCACTATATGAAACCACCTAATGTACAGTCTGGACTTTATCTCTCACCCTCCCTCGATAACCTACAAAGACCCTCCCACATCCCAAACAAAAGCTACAGCAAATTAATAATTCATACTTACCTAGCCCTCGTGCAGCAACATCTGTGGCTACCAAAATTGGAGCTCTTCCAGACCGAAATTCTGAAAATTTATATTTATTATATCATTAAGTCTTATTAATATTATAATGCAATACAATTTTATCAACATCTTAATATGTACCAATCTAGCATAACTCACCACTTAGAACCCAGTCTCTTTCCTGTTGAGATTTATCTCCATGAATACACATTGCTGGCCACCTGGATAATAAAAAAGTAAACAGTAAGATCGAAATACGCATACGAAATATAAATCTACTTATTGATAATAGTGTCCTTAAAATTAGAAGCTACAAATTACAGACCCAAGGGACACAACATGCTAAGAGTGACTGGTAATAATCTTGTGCATTTGCTGAGGGGACAAATTTAAATAGCTACTGTACTACTGAATATAACAAGACAAATTACCCTCTCCAGGTCAGATGGGCATTATTAAACCCGAGGCATCTAGTATGGTGCATACTAACATGCAGGATGCCTCTCTTATCTTACCCAGTACTCCTCAACCCACGAGTAACATCCTCCACCTTCCTCTTGGTTTCGATAAAGATTATAGTCTTGTATGCCCTCTCCTGCGCCATCTCATTGAGCAACTGGCGCAGCCTACAGAAAACAGGGAAAGGGGGACGTTAAGGAAATGCAACAAGCAGGCATCGCAGACTTTGCTAGGTTTTGGATACATTAGCCCTTTTTAAAGATTGCTCAAAATGAAAGGTGACCATAAGCTGCAGCAGCCAAAAATGCAAAGTCTGCTCTGTGTCCCAAAGGCCTGAGGTAGCTTCAGGTAGAAGAATGTCACCCAGATCCTTAGGATCTATCATAAAAGTGCACTTTCTTTACCCTTCGCGTCTCATTCGCCTGGTCAAATCGTCGACTTTTCTTTTTGTTTCAGCAAACACGATGATCTTGCTTTCCTTTTCTGCCATGATTTCTTCAAGTAGTTGCCGGAGTCTAAGGGGCAAGGCAAATCATAAAAACAGTATCTATGTTCTAAGATGATGCATATATACATTACAATATAACTAAAAGGCTGTCCCATTTCCAAATCTTTTGTTTTAAATACCTATCGATTAGTGTTTTTATTCGAATCACTTTCAACTACAAGCTTGCTTGCCTCTTGCAACATTAGGCAAGGTTTGCCAGCCAACCAGTTATTTTGCAGAAAATGCAACCTAAATGTGTGTTCCAAAAATGCAACTAATGTATTTGTCAAGGCTTTAACTAGCAGCAAAAGTGGGCATATTATGTAAACTTCTAGACTTGTATAAAAAAGTGGAATTTGGCATCCACAGATGATTTTGGCAAAGGTAAGGCAAGTCTAAAGGCAAGATCTAAAAATAAATAAATCAATGCAAAAGACAAACCAGAATGAAGTTAAGCACTTTGTATGTATTGGCTGTGGTTGGTACAAGCATACAAGATGAACCAAAGCTATGACAAGGTAGTTGATCCAAGAAATATTACAAAGCCACTCTCAGTCAGCACGATTGAAAAGGTATCCAGAATCAGACCAAACTTGAGATTGTATGAGGCGGCACATCTTACCCATGGTGGGTGAACAAAGGACTCGACATTTGACACTTTGTACCTCGTTAACACTACTATTAGGGTATATAGAAAACCTGAATGTATGTTTTCGGAAAGTACACTATCGAGACGAATCTGACATTTGTCAAAGCAGGACAGCATTTATATTACATTTATAATTCATATATGCATCAATACATATACGTAAATGCATGTGTATAATTTATATAAATATATTACATACAAACACACATACAGTATATAAATTATACTTATGATTATGTACAGTATATAGTTTGTTTATACCAACTGAGTCACAAGCATTCATGATATTTTAAATAATAAATTCATTAATGTATATAAGCAATTATGACAAGTTGAATGTAACCAAATATGTAGTTCATTTTTAAAACGGTAATTCACTCACTTGGTATCCTTTTCCATTTCTTGACAAACATCAACAATTTGGAGGATATTATGGTTGGCAGCTAGGGAAAGTGATCCAACATTCAGCTGTATGTAATCTTTCAAGAAGTCCTCCGCTAGATTCCTCACCTCCTTTGGCCAAGTTGCCGACCACATGAGTGTTTGCCTATCCGGCTAAGTACACAAAAAAAAAAAAAAAATGTCTTGTGCATTAAAAGATTTAACCAAAATTTTAAGCAGTTCCCATTAAATATGAATTAATTTAAGCAGTACTGTACTGAAAAAATTTGTCTTAGACTCACCCGAATCTGGTCTACAATTTTCCTTATCTGTGGCTCGAAACCCATGTCCAGCATGCGGTCAGCCTCATCTAGTACTAAATATGTTGTGCGCCGCAGATTTGTTTTTCCAGCTTCAAGGAAGTCAATAAGACGTCCAGGGGTAGCAATACAAATCTAAAAAATAAAAAAACAAGTGTGTAAATAACGCTAGCAAGCAGGTTTTGCCACCACGCCTGTCATGTCTCATATTTAGCGATTGAAATTTACATGAAATTGAAATTGAAATAAGTTTATTGAGGTAAAATACACACAAAGGGATGAGGTAGCTCAAGCTATTCTCACCCCGTTCAGTACAATGTGTTAGTACATACATAGACACACATCACAAACAATAAACCTGTTACCAAACATTCTGAGAGATAAACATGTACATTTCCTCCTTCACAAGTGGTATGGTATCAGACGTACACAAATACTTTTATGACCTAGTTATACGGATAATTCAACAAAATATCACGGATAATTCAACAAAATATTACAGTCTTGGTGCAAAATTCTTATATCTCTCAAGAATATCATCAACCTTTCCTTTGTGACACATCCAGGCTATTTGCTCAGGAACAGTCCTTATCTCAGTGTTTCTATATACATTAATCAACGGACAATCAAGAACATAATGGGCAAGGGTGTGAGACCTTAACATACCACATAGTTTACACTTCGTGTCATTATCATGAACGCCTATCCCATATTCCCAGTAATATTTGTACCCAAGCCTGAGCCGCATGTACACAGAGTCACTCCAAGCATTTCTCCTTTTACCATAAGTGAAAAGGGTGTTTTGACTCACATACATGTAGTGTTGCATGGTTAGACTTCTCTCATACATTCTCTCTCTCCTCTCCACTCCCGCCTGTGCCTGAATATTTCTGATTTTGCTTCTTATTTGTCTCATTGTGAATTCACATTCAATGTCAATTTGTGGTTTTGATGTGGCACGTTTGGCCAAGTCATCCGCCACCTCGTTGAGCACTATTCCAACATGAGATGGAATCCACATGAATTTCACACTATGACCTTTCAGCTGTATCTCAGCTATTCTTCTCTTACAATCCTCAACTATAGACATGAAGACTGGGTTTCGACTGTTTAAGGACTCCAGTGCTCCTCGGCTATCGACAAATACAAAAACATTTTTGTCGTCATGACGTACTTCCTCCAAACACGCCAGAATGGCCTGCAGTTCAGCTTGTGTGGATGATATATAATTACTAAGCCGGAGTTCAATTTTCCTGTCCACAGTCCCAAACTCCGTATATTCCCTTATTAGGACACCACACCCTGCCCTGCCATCCTCCACTACCGACCCGTCGCAATATACATGTAAACTGTTGCCTCTTGGTAACCGGGATATCATGCTTCCATACATACACCGTAATTGTCCCGGTTCATGATGAATCTTTTTCACATTGAGGGGTACAATTTCGACGTCTATTTTCTGTACTTTCCAGGGAGCAGACATGTCTCCCTCAGTTTCCTGGAAGTGTGTACGTCACTCAAGCAGGTCTGAACACTCTCAAACAGCTTATCCCCTCCTTTTCTCCGCATGAAACGAATAGCTACTCTAGTGTTAATGTCACGGACTCTATCACACACACTCTGTAAATTTAATTCCATTCTCATTATTTCAATCATTGCATTTCTTTGACATCCAAGAATAATCCTCATAGCCTCGTTCTGTATCAGCTCTATTTTTTGAATTCTGCCTTGGCCTGTGTAAGACAAAACGGGTGCTGCGTAGTCTATCAGGGACCGAACAGTGCTTATGTATAACATCCGTAAGATAGGTACCCCAACACCTTTACCAGAAAAAGCTAGTGCTTTTAGAGGATGCAGACGGGCTTTACATAAGGTGCTGATATGATTTATTTCAGCATTCTTACTCTCACATGTGTATCCAACATACATGCCCAGATACTTGTACTTCTGAACACGGCTCAGTTCCACACCATTTAGAGTAAGTGTTATATTTCTTCGTTTCCTATACTCATATTTGGTTTTATCTGCATTTATAACTAAGCCTAACTTGTGACAGGTTGTACCAAGTATGTTAAGAGCAGTTTGAATTTTGTTCCCGGAAGTGCCTTGTATAAGAATGTCATCAGCATATATGATCGTCGTGACCCCTGGAGGATACATTTCTGATGCTAATCTGTTCATTAATACATTGAATAAGGTGGGACTTAATACTCCCCCTTGTGGGGTACCTAACTGAAACCTCCGTTCCTCAGACATGCATCCCTGATAATACACCTGACCTTTTCTGCCTTGTAGATAATCCCTTATCCAGTGTAACAATCTCCCTGTTATTCCCAGATTGGCTAATTCGTATAAGATTACTTCCCCATTGGCTTTATCAAATGCTCCTTGTAGATCAACAAAAACTCTACAATTGTCATCCATATTAGACAAACACTTTAAGAGACAATCCGCAGTACTTTTGCCTTTGATAAAACCAAAGAGATTACTGGACATGTTATCACCTACAAGGTAGAGCAGCCTATTTAACAAAATCCCTTCCATCATTTTACAAAAGCAGGATATTAAGGAGACAGGTCTGTAGCCACCATTTGACTTAGGGATAGGAATGATGACTGCCTCTTTCCATTTTCTTGGTAACTTTCCCTCTCTATAACTCATATTAAACAAATCAAGTAAGGGACTAGGTTTCATACCGGCTAAATAATTAAGAATGTCATACGTTACTCCATCTTTCCCAGGAGCAGTAGAGCTGCCACTTTTTATAGCATCCAGTAGCTCATCGTGAGTTATCTCAGTGCACGCTATAGATCTTGTATTTAAGGCACAAAGTTACTCCATTTCTAATATTTTCCCATGACTCAATGGTGATTCTCGTGTCTGCAGGTAAGGACTCCATACCAGCAGCACTAGCCCATTTATCTACTAACTCATTAGCAACCTTCCCTGGATCTGAGTGAGCAATGAATTTGGTCTTACAACCCCTGACTTTATTTACTGCTCTCCATATGTCTTTAAGGTTCTTAGTATTACCAATGGACTGAGCAAAGTCTTGCCAGTATCTGTCCCGCGCCTCCTTCCTCACCTGACTGCATTCCCTAGCCACTTCCAACATTGTATTTTTCTTCATCCCTCATTCCATTTTTTATATGAAATTGTTGCTATTACAGAAGAGGACTAAGATATTGCAAGGAGGGCCAGAGAACAAGAAAATCATTACAGGAAGATGCCAGACTCCTAACTAGCACAAAATTACAAATAAAAATGGAATTCAACCAATTCTATAAATTCATAAAAAACAAATGATGAGATCCAGAGTACAAATGCACATACTGAAAAAGAAATGTGTTAAACACTAAACAGTTTCAAAGCATTAGTGCAAGATGAATTCAACAAACTAGTTAATATAAATGTTCCGAGTTAGAAAAATGGCTCTGGGGAGCAAGACAGCAGTTGGGCCAGGAGTTTCCACGAGTTTTATGGGAATGCACATTAAGCGAGTGCCCCTACTACAAATTCTTCCAAATAGGAACTATACTTGTGTATGGAAAAAGGTATGGAATATACCAGCCATAGAATTAGTTTGGAGCAAAGGAGGAATCCCAATCATATGTGGCATTCTTCCAAGAAAGGGAGTTGGAAATGAATGGTTGTCAAAGACAGTGTCAATTGCCGGCTGGAAAAATATTGCAAATCAAATGCAATATCTTTCATAGATAACAATAACTTGTGTATGGAAATATTTTTGAAAAAAGGCAAATCAATATTATGTGAGAAAGCTGTATGAACACACAAGCCATAGATCACTAAGAACTATTTGACCCGGCCAGGATTTGAACCCATGCCATCTAAATGTACGCAGTACTGGTAATCACCGTACTGTACAATGTACAACATATCAACATGCAATGAGAATCATTGGTATAGTGGTCATGGTACCATACATGTTTAGGGGTGATTAACAGGAATCTACAAAATCAACAAATTACACAAATCACAAACAAATGTAAACAGATTTATAAAGTTTGAAAAAATTTATAAGGGAAAAGGCTGTGGACTAAACTCGTTAATTCCAAAGTGCTATATGAAGGATTACTGAACAGTTAGCATAGCTCATCCAGTACTTATACTTTGATAACGATATGGTTTCTGAAACCATTTTCTCCTGCTTGTATGACCCTTCCCCATGAATTAATAAATGTAAAATTTATAAAACTATTTACTTAGTTACTTTCCTAATGAGGCACATTTTATCTCTGCATTCTCTTACTCCCAGTTAGGAACTCCTCTTGTAGAGCATTTATTCCAAGTTTCAAATGTAGATATGACAGAGCCCAGTAGGCTCAGAAATAAATATAAATAAATACAATTATATATTATTTTTTTCCCCCTAACATTGGCAGTATTAAGCTACTAATTTGATAACTTTAAAAGAAAGTTATAAAAAGAATATATCAATAAATCCCAGACCTAGTCTTGGGAACAAAGTCAATTTAAGGATTTGTTTTTAGAAAATTCAGCTTTTACACAACTACAACACATAATATGAAGCAAATATATTTGGATATTTAAAAAACCTACCTCAACCCCTCTTTCAAGATCACGAATTTGTGGTCCCTTGGGTGCACCTCCAAATACACATGTGGACCGGATCTTTGAGGATGCCCCATAGTCCTGTGCAACTGTTAGTATCTGCTGGGCAAGTTCTCTGGTGGGGGCTAGGATGAGTGCAATCGGACCATCGCCTCGCTCCAAATATGGTTGGTTGTTTATATGCACAATTGCTGGCAGGATGTATCCTAACGTTTTGCCAGAACCAGTCTGAAATTACAAAGTTGTGTATGAACACAGGCCAAAGTTTTACATGAAAATATATATTCTATAGTTTTGCATGATAAAACTATTAGTAAAATAGAAATACTCACCTTGGCAATACCAACAAAGTCCCTTCCCTGCAGTGAAATAGGCCATCCTTGACCTTGAATTGGTGTTGGTTGTTCATAGCCTTGTCTTTTGATCTCTGCCATAACATAGTCCGGGAAATTATAATCACTAAAGTACTGGATGGGATTTGGGATGTTTTTACCACGAAGAGTAATTTCTTTCTCATTCCTGTGAAAGACAGCCAGTTGAAAGAATAAATTTTAATTAGAAGATATCAAATGAGATTTATGTAGATTACTTGCAGGAAAGTAGCAAGCACTACTATCAATGAAAATGTAATTCTGAAAAATAACAAAACATATAGGTGAATTCATAATACAATATTTATACAAAATGGTACAGCCCTAATTATTCAGACCAATTTGTATCTTAGTCATTTAACTTGTATGTGTGATGTAACTGGGGCTAGATAATGTGCAATGTGTCCTTGTGAACACTGCAATTGACCTCAATGTAACAATTGCAGTCGTTCAGGGAAATTAAAGCATCGCAATATTGAAGCCTCATGGATTTAGTTATTACTGGCTCCGGTATGTTAAGTAGACTGCCTAGGTTTGATTGACACTTCTGATTAGGATTTTTTTTTGTGATTTTGTAATCGAGATAACGTGCTAGTGTGAAGGAGCAACATGCACCACTTTACAAACAGGCCTTATTCGTCAAAACTTTCACCTTAACCTTACAATGTTCCAACAGCTTTGTAAGAATACCTTGCTGTGCACAAAATGTCATGTGCGATTTGTTAACTACTTTGTCAGCTGCACCGCAATTTAGTTCAGAGGAACCTCGGCACTCGAATGCTGTACTGTGCTGAGTAGGCGACCATTTGCCAATGTAAAATTTTAAAATTACGCTAATGTAAACGCATTAAGGACACTTCAGATTCCCCAGTGCACCTGGAGCATATCTGGAAAGAATTCTGCCTGATTTAAAGTTCTTACAGAATTTATAATATATAAATTTTGATAATGAAGTTATCAGATTGCAATTTTTTTTATTTCACTTCCTTTACCACCTATACGATTCAGATATTGAAATACATTAAAATCACTTGGAAAATTAAATTTGCATAGTACATGTTGCAGAGCAAGGCTAACCAAGAGGCTTATTATGCATGTGGCAGGGGGGAATGTTCTCAGTATAGAACATGTTTAAAGGCAAAGATTTAAGATGGCTAAACTAGTTTTGCCAATGACATGTTAACATGAAACACGAAAATTGGCAGACACCAAACAAGCCATTTTAGTAAATTTGTAGCACCCACATTAAGTCATTGTAATAATACAATCATGTAAGGAATTATGAATACCTTACGTACCACATGTGTGTAATCCTGGAGTATCCAGATCCAGAATGTAGTACTTACCTAGTTAAACACAAGACAAAGTTAAAGATTCAGAGGTGTGCCACCAGACAAGTACCAGAGCAGAGACGTAAGAGTTACTGGGAAACGGCTATGGGAATTAAACCTCACGACCCTCAAGACGAGTCTGGGGAGACATGATCGCACAAAATTCTGACGGGGAACTGACAGAATGGACAAACCATTTAGCTTTGGCCGAACATGCTCAGGGGGAGGGGGGGACATAAGGAAACTTGATTCTCAAGTAAGCCACAGAAACAGTAGAATTTTTTCAGTTAGGATAGTTTACAAATGGAATGCATTAGGCAGTGATGTGGAGGAGGCCGACTCCACACAGTTTCAAATGTAGATATAAGAGCCTAATAGGCCCAGGAACCTGTAGTCTACTGACAGTTCTGATGTAGGACCGAAGACTCAACCCCCACAGCCACAACTAGGCAAGTACAATACTTTCCTTGTCATTTTCAGACAATATTAAATTATTTCATCCTTATCTCCCTATCTGCATTTGGCAAAGTTACAACTGAGTTTCCTAGGAGGGGGACTATATCTGAATGACCAGGCCAAATTACTGTACTAAATGCCAAATTTACTATCGTTATGCAGGAGAGGCACAAGATTTCATTTAATGTTGCCTGGTTAAAATTATTTTGAAATTTACAAATTTAAATGTAATTTGTGACACGTTTAATATTAATATATAACAATGCTGAATATTTTTTGGAAAAATTATTTTGAATTCAGCAAATGACTTTTTTGAGTACTGTATTGCACAATTAATACCAAAATCTAATTTTAATGTTTAGCCAAATGTACTTGCCTATATTTTTCAACTTCATAAGGTGGACGATTTAGTACTGTCGGTGTAGGTTGATAGAAGTTCTTCTCAAAGGGAGTCAGTCTGGACAGGTCCCACTTTGGCTTCCGAAGGCGCTCGCCTGGCTGCCTTCCTTTCAGTGACTGCCGTCCACCACCAGCTGCATTCCACCCACCACGTGAACCCCAGTCATCCCTACCACGTCGACGATCACGGTCACGCGAGCGAGAACGAGAACGGGAGCGAGACCTAGAAGGGGACCTTGGGATTAACTATATATAAATGAACCTGAAAAAGAAAGCACGAATTATGTTGAGCAGCTTCATCCACTTCACAAAGTCATCCAGAGTTCCTTGCAATGAGGGGTATCATCCTAAGTAGATTCTTTCCACTGCAGGCATCTAAAACAACTTAAAGTGCCAGCAATAAAACACCTGGCTTAAGGACACATTTTCGAAAATTAAGTTATTAAATTTCAATTAAATTTTGTTGACATTAGAACTGTAAAGTTCTCTTAGACAATTTTCAGTCGCATAAGATGCTATTAACTATACAAAAAAATTGAATGAAACAGCACATTAAAAAATAAATTATATATATTTATATTTATATCTAATGCACATAGCTATAGTAATGGCACCTAATCTTTAATGTACCTTACTGATTTCAATTCTACTGAATTAGTTGTTGTCAATCTGTAGTCAATCTAGTTGTAGTATAAATTATGCCCCCCCCCAATCATGCCAAGTTTTAAGTTCTCTGGGGATGACTATTGAACACTTGTTGCATATTATTGCGAAGTGGCATGTGTTGTCCCTTAACCACTGCACTGAGCAACACGCCTCGAGGCGCTTGTTGGGTGGTGTGCAAGGCACCTCAGGGCGCTCGTAGGTACTGTACAGCAAGGTACTGTATAGCGTATCATTCAAACTTGCGTGGCTACACGGGGTTCACATCAGCTTCCTCAGGGCTCTCCTAAACACACTTTTTTATCCTGGGTAACATTTCCGGGTGTGAAGGCCTAAGTACCGAGTGAGCAACCAAGGCTGGCGCACGCAGCATGAGCTAACAGCATTGCTGTTCAGCTCGTTACCATAGTATCGCCTAAACACGTCCAAATATATGTATCTGGTATTATTTAATCATGACAGTATTACAGAAGGGCCTGGCAGACTGTACAATGTTCAGATATTATTGAATCAGATGCTGTTGATGAAAGATGTTCACAATGCTAGCCACAGCACACTGCCATTATTTTGTCCATCTAAAATTCTTCAAACGACTTATGTTCCTTTACAAAATAAACATGTGGAAAATTATTCATTTACATAATTTAGTGATCAGGATTCTGATAATAGCAGGATTGTGGTGAGAATTAGCAATGTGCGTAGTATGGTGGGAGGAGAATTGTTGGCGAGGGAGGGAAATAGCGTTGTCTGCTGGCTGGGGTCAACATGTTATTGTCTGGAATCACCATACCAGCTTGGTGGTTTGCTATGATGAATACAAATGTAGTTACTTATAATGTGTGTATATAGTGTAATAACAGCATTTTGCTGTTATTTTGTTTTGCTGTTATTAGCGACGGAAGGAAGTTGGAAGGAGCCATTTTGGTGAGGGAATGAATGAGGCTGCTGGCAGCTGTGTGACTTGTGCAGTGGCTACTATGCTGTTTGGACACCATACCAGCTTAGTTGTAGAGTTATAGTGAATAAACATGTAGATACTTGTATATATGTGTGTTCTGTATAGTGTAACACCACCACAAACAGTATGTCTGAGAGGAATGTTAGTGTGTCTGGCCTTGAACCAGTGGGAGAGGCAGCCGTCAGCTGTGTGGGGCGATCACTCTTATTGCCTGAACTCGCCATACCAGCTTAGTTGTACAATTATGGTAAACAATGGTGAGGAGGAATGTTGGTGAGCGGGTGTTGAACGAGGGAGTGAGTCGGCAGTCTGCTGGCTGCTGTGTCGTGGCCACTCACCATACCAACTTACTGGTGTGTTATGGTGAACACGTATGTAGACAGGTATGTGCAATGTGTATATAGTGTAATAATGGCAAAACACGGTTTGAGTGATTGTAGAATATATATTATGTCACATATGAGCCCCACAATTTTGAGTATATATGTTCCACATATTGAACTACTGTATATAAACTCCACAAATTACAAACTTTTGAATAATATTACAGCGCAAAAAAAAAAAACAACAACATTGTGAAACATTATATTCCCAGCAACTGCCGCACCGCAGGGTTTCGGGGTCTAGTGACCTCCATCGCTCAGCGCCCATAATTTGCTCAACTTTCCAGCTCCATCACGGCTAAAGTATGTCTCACTTTTTTTTTTTTTTTTTTAGTTTCCCGTGATCAGAGAGTGCATTTCAGCAAGATAAAATCATTTATAAGAATTTATTTTTGGCACACCACGGGTTTGTCATTTTAATGCAGAGCAGTGCAGTGGTTAAGGAAAGTAGATTTTACCTCTAGTTTGTTAAATGTAACCAAGTCTCCTGCCTATATGGCGGTAACATGAGATCGAGGAGGTAAAGTATCTGTTGTACAGTACTTGGGGGGTTTAGGGTTAGTAAATTATATTAAGGTAATTTAAAGCTGGAGTTTCCATCACATTTACTGTATTGGGGTTTAGGCGATCAACACTAGACGACATACCATATTTGGTATTACTTTTCTTTAGTTGGGAATTGTTTCCCTGGGGCCAGGACTTACCTAACCCCATTGGGTGGAACACTCTTACCTTTATTTTTACCCCTACAGATCACCCACATTTATAACATATCACTGCCATATAATTGCAACTCACTCTAATAATATATATTGTTCCAGCAAGATAGTATTCTTGCCTACAAAGCAGAATTATTCTTAATCCACTCCAATATGCAATACAAGCATAGTATTTACAATAACTGTTCATGAAAATCAATACTGGTAAATATAATTGTGACAATTGTGCAACATGATGCACCAGTCATTTTGGATGTGTTGGGCATGCTTATATTACCTTTAACCTTGTTAATATTGGGGATAAAAATAAAGAGCACACCATGGTGTTGCCCGAAGCAAACATTTTTCTCAATGTTTTTAAAGTTTTGATTTTTATCGAATATTTTTGAAATTATGCACCCTTAAGGAAATGTACTCTAAACAAACCAATGTAAATGAAATACCATATTTCCTCAGAATCCAATTTTAATTTGCATAAATGAACACTGGAATTAATTGAAAGCCATTTTACAGAAAAAATGTATAGCAAAATACAAATCCCAAGTGGAGAGAAAATAAAAGATTAATAAAATAGTGCAAAAATATAATTCAGCCCATAAATCTTGCCATTTAAATTAATTCTCTTGCCTAAACTTGCTTATTGGCCATTAAATATTAAAATCAAGTTGCATTATAGAACAAACTAAGGTTAAAGAGCCTAGGTTCAAACAATGATTACCAGTATAATATAATGCTGTACAGTGGAACCTCGACTTATGAATGCTTCTCTTTACAAATTTTTTGGGTTATGAGCTCAAATTCTTCATAAAATTTGAATCGGTTTACGAGCTTTGTCTCAATTTGCAAACTTGTTGATACACGTATGGGTCAACCACGGTATCACTGTACATTAAAGACTAGCTGAAGTCAAATTTTGTGGGTAAGCAAGTGTTTTCCTAACATTGTTAGCTAGTTCACAAACAGTTTAACATTTCATTCTTTCTACGAATTATGAATTATGCTGCAGCAGAAATTTTATATGGAAACGTCTGACATCAGTCTAGCAAACTTGGTGATGTTGTTCTGTACACATAGTTATTAACACTTTCGCGTCCCGGGCGTGCGCTCTGCACGCTTGCACGAACTCAAGTTTTCGCACCTTAATTCTTGTACGTCGTTCATTTTGGTATCATTGTGTTCGCAATAGAATTCCCTACAGGTGTATATGTATATAAGGTCCAAAAGCCAAGCGTGCATCCCCACAGCAAAGCCTAAATTTGGCAAGTTACCCGCGAGCACACAAAATCAGTAAAATGAGTATACTCGTTTCAGTTTTCTCACCTTAATTCTCAAGCTACGTGGCTCGTTTTGGTATTACCATGTTCACAATTAAATTCCATGCAGGTGTTGTACTGTATATGCATATATTGTCCAAAAGCCAAGCTTGACTCCATTTAGCATAGCCTAAAGTTACCAGTGAATGAACAATTTGCACATCAGTCAAATGTGTACACTCGTTCAGTTTGATAACATCAATTTTTGTGTTACGTCTCATTTTGATATCAAATTGTTCGCAATAAAAAGGTGCGTATTTTAAAACTAGTCTCATAATAGAGCAATAAATGGAATTTTAACATTTTAATTTTTGACGCTCATCATAAAATTATTTTTATCTTTCCAGTGTTCTGATGTGTTTCGTGTTACATCTTTCATTTTGGTATTAAATTGTACTCACTAAAGGCGCCCATTTTGTAACCACAGTATCCCGAAGTCGATCAGACAAATGAATTTTATACAAATATTTTTTTATCTGACGCACATGCCCAATGCTCGGACTCAAGATTAAAAAATTGAACTCAAGTTGCGTTCGAAGAGTATTAGTGTTAATTACCCTTACCAGTACCTAGATTATGGTACCTTTATAAGTGGCATTGTGTGGTGTTTGAGAAAAATAAAAGGATACTGTATAAATTGGCTGGTGGGAGCCAATTTGAGTTGTGTGAGGCAATCTGCAACTCCTAATCATGCACAGCTTTTGCCTGGTACAATATGCTCTTCGGCTGCAGGTCCAAGAAACTCATCAATTGGATAATGCAATATGCCATGGCATACTATACCTAAAACAGCACATTTAATGCAAAGGCACATTTTTATTATGTGCAAAATGCGGGGAGGGCCTCCCCCACACAACGCTGCACGGGCCCTCTCTCAACACCGCACAACCGCACAAGCCCCCCCCCCAACACCGCACGGGCCCCCCCACCACAACACCGCACAGGGCCCTCTCCCCACACCACCACATGGCCCCCTATAACGCATCAGTGGCCTATTCGAGGCTGGCTAACATTAGAACTGCTTTCAGAAATCTGTGCAAGGAATCCTTCAGAACCTTGTATACCACACATGCAAGGCCAATCCTGGCATATGCAGCCCCAGCATGGAGCCTGTACCTTGTCAAGCACAAGACGAAGCTGGAAAAAGTTGAGGTATGCCACTAGGCTAGTTCCAGAACTAAGAGGTATGAGTTATGAGGAAAGGCTGCGCGAACTGCACCTAACGTCGCTGGAAAACAAGAGCTCAGGGAAACATGATCACCACATACAAAATTCTCAAGAATTGACAGGGTAAACAAGGATGGATTATTTAACACGGGTAGTACACACCCAAGGGGACACTCTTAATTCTGTGGCGCGGGTTCAATTCCCACACCAGGCAGAAACAAATGGGCAAAGTGTCTTTCACCCTGAATGCCCCTGTTACCTAGCAGTAAATAGGTACCTTGGAGTTAGTCAGCTGTCACAGGCTGCTTCCTGGGTTGTGTGGTGTGGAGAAAAAAAGTTGTTAGTAAACAGTTGATTAACAGTTGAGGCAGGCCGAAAGAGCAAAGCTTAACCCCCGCAAACACAACTAGGTGAAGACAGGTGGAAGCCATGTACCCACATAAGCCACAGACATTAGAAAGAACAATAAGTAGTTAGTAAATGGAATGCACTAGGAAGTGATGTGGCAGAGGCAGACTCCATACACAGTTTCAAATGTAGATATAAGAGCCCAATAGGCTCAGGAATCTATACACCAGTTGATTGACGGTTGAGAGGCGGGACCAAAGAGCCAGAGCTCAACCACAGCAAGCACAACTAGGTGAGCACATGGCCCCCTCCCCCACACGGCACCACACGGGCCACCCCTGACAACCCTCGGCACCACATACAGCCACCCCAGCACCACAAGCAGCCCCCCACGGCACCACATGCGGGCCCCCCCCACGGCACCACATGCGGGCCCCCCCCACGGCACCACACGCGGGCCCCCCCCATGGCACCACACACGGGCCCCCCCCACGCGGCACCACCACACGGGGCCCCCCCACGCGGCGCCACCACACGGGCCCCCACGCGGCGCCACCACACGGGCCCCCACGCGGCGCCACCACACTTGCCCCCACGCGGCGCCACCACACGGGCCCCCACGCGGCGCCACCACACGGGCCCCCACGCGGCGCCACCACACGGGCCCCCACGCGGCGCCACCACACGGGCCCCCACGCGGCGCCACCACACGGGCCCCCACGCGGCGCCACCACACGGGCCCCCACGCGGCGCCACCACACGGCACCACCACACGGGCCCCCACACGGCACCACCACACGGCACCACCACACGGGCCCCCACACGGCACCACCACACGGGCCCCCACACGGCACCACCACACGGCACCACCACACGGCACCACCACACGGGCCCCCACACGGCACCACCACACGGGCCCCCACACGGCACCACACGGGCCCCCACACGGCACCACACGGGCCCCCACACGGCACCACCACACGGGCCCCCACACGGCACCACCACACGGGCCCCCACACGGCACCACCACACGGGCCCCCACACGGCACCACCACACGGGCCCCCACACGGCACCACCACACGGGCCCCCACACGGCACCACCACACGGGCCCCCACACACCACCACCACACGGGCCCCCACACACCACCACCACACGGGCCCCCACACACCACCACCACACGGGCCCCCACACCCCACCACCACACGGGCCCCCACACCCCACCACCACACGGGCCCCCACACCCCACCACCACACGGGCCCCCACACACCACCACCACACGGGCCCCCACACACCACCACCACACGGGCCCCCACACACCACCACCACACGGGCCCCCACACAGCACCACCACACGGGCCCCCACACACCACCACCACACGGGCCCCCACACACCACCACCACACGGGCCCCCACACAGCACCACCACACGGGCCCCCACACGGGCCCCCACACACCACCACCACACGGGCCCCCACACACCACCACCACACGGGCCCCCACACAGCACCACCACACGGGCCCCCACACACCACCACCACACGGGCCCCCACACGGGCCCCACACCACCAGACAGCTGGCGCACCACCGTGCGCATTACCACTCGTCACAAAATCGAACAAAGCCACAAGATGGCCACAATAGAGATCTGAATTAAGCGTTTTTAGCAAGAAAATGAAAATTGAAATTTTTGGCTATGATGCTTTTGGCAATGATGCAACTAGCAAGACGTATTCCAGTTACCCACAGCCGCTACTAATCTGTTAAATAGTCGGGACAATGATGTACAGGTATATAGAACACAAAATGGCGTCAGGCCGCGGTGAATGATCAGGGAAGCATCTTAAAACAGCATCAAACCCCCAACCATTTGCCGGGCAGAAGCACCGAACATAAAGTGAGGGCCAACACAGTCCACACAACCCCTACACACGCCACACACCGGCCACAGATGATAAATCGATGCTGCACACACCTCTCGCCATATTGGAAAACCTTCGCAATGCTTAACACTATTTACTCACCTGCGATTTCTGTATGACGACATGACGGCGTTTCTCTGTTCTTATCAAGACTAAACTTTTAAATATTACTATAATAGGAGCAGATGTTGGCTCCCGCGGGCTTGAAGATGGAATGTGAAGGAGGCGTGGAGATGGTGCACGCGCCCGCTGAGGACCCGGGTGGAAAGGCCGTGTGCGGGGCGGCGGGCCGGTCACCCTCCCCGCCATGCTGCCACATCCACCCCGCTTAATAATTCTCCCTCTTTAATGCTCTATATGACTCTTTAACTCAATATTTTTACTTTCTTTTAACGTAATATGACTTATTACTATGGTTTATTCTATATATATGACCTATTTTTATTAGAAAATGGAAATAAATAATAATAAAAAGGAATTACGCGCTTGGCATTCGCGGACAAAATAAGTGAGTAACAGCAAGCGTTTGGCCCTTTCAGCCTTTGTTTATATATTTTATTTCCCTATTTCAAGGCTTAAAAAAGTGTAATGCTCTTTTATTATTATATTTGTGTAAATATTGCACAATTACACTAGTACGGTGTATAGCTAGACATTAATTAACTTGAATAAAGTGAGTCATCGATTTTTTACTTTTTTTTATCAAGCTTAGGTACACAGCAGCGTGCTGATGCTGCTACCATATTCCATATTTACCTGAATTTACCTCAGGACCATCATATCTAGTGACTTGGACAGAAAAAACAAGACAGCAGGTTGTCAAATGTCCCCACATTATTCTCGAGGATTTTATCAGTTGATTTTTTTTCAACTTAATACAGTAGGGCAGATGAGGGGCCCAGCAGAATAACCACTTTCTTTTCCTTGAAATCAAAGGTTCGTTTGGTTATTTCTCGGGTTGGGTGGCTTTTTTTTTATTGCAGCTCCTTTTTGTTGTGCAACTTTCAATAACTGGTGGACCAGAACTCTTATAGGCCCTTTTCTTCATCAGTCTGTTGCATTGTAGTGTTGCTGATATGACAGCTGTGATGTGCACTGTAATGTCTTACATTCAAGGTCTTGTATTTTCAATATTGAAAAGCATTTGGCAGTTTGACCATTTGTAGAGCTCATAGAGGTATCTCTGTGAGGTCTTAATTTTCTTTTCGCTTCCTACTTTACCACATATCTTAGTGTCATCTGCGAATTTGATGATGTGGTTTGTAATATTCTCATCTGCTATTGATGTAAATGACAAAAAAAGTTGGCCCCAATATGGTACCTTGCGGTACCCGACTCACCACGTCATTTCTCGTCGGTTAGAAACATTTCAGTTTATGGCAACCCTTTGCTTCCTTTGTTTTAACCATGCTTTACTCATTCTAGTACTTTACTATTTATTCCATATGCTTGTAATTTAATCTCCTTGTCAGTCTTACCTGTTATACCCTATCAAAAACTTTAGAAAAGTCTGTGTATTCTACGTCTTTGTTATATTTTGATCTCTTCAAAGAATTCCTTGTTGTGATCCCTTGGAATTCTTTGATGACAATTATTTAACTTGAACTTGAATAATTGAAAGTAGCAATGATCAATATAAGTAACACACAAAACGAATAAGCAAGACCTATACTTGAAGATGAAATAACTAAAGTAATAACTTGTAGAGTAAAATTAAACTGCGTAAAGTACAAATGAACATTAACCGTAATGAACACGGAGGCTATGAATTAGTCACTAAAGCTGCACAAAAATAAGGGTGTACATTTATCTATAACTATAAATACATAGAATTAATCAAGATTGTAACTTGCTTAGCTAAATGAATTGTGGGGTTCAGTCCCTGAGCCCATTATGTGCCTCTGTAACCCTTTCCACTACCGCCCACAAGATGGGTATGGGGTGCATAATAAATGACCTAAACTAAACTAACTAATAGTACAGTAATGCATGGAGATTACAAGATACTGTACTTAAAATTGAGGTCACCTCAATTTTCATCTCATTAAATGAGGTGAATATTTGTGTATTCAGGAGGTGGGGAGTGAGTGGGGGATTGTCCGACATTAGTCGCCCCTCCCTCAGCACTGCTGGCGAGGAGTCCCCATCACATACTGTATTTTCCTTTATATACTAGAAACGAAATGTGGGAATTGTGCAAACAAAATTTATTTAATAATTTACAATAAAATTATTTGTCTTTTCATGCAACGAAAATTTCTACCTGTAAATGGCTATATTTTCACACATTAAAAGAGCAAGGAAAACCCAGCACTTCTGGAAGCAACAACACTTGAAACCATTGATTCCTTTATAAATAACTTACGGTCACACGAGCACTATGCTTACACTGATGGGTCTGTTCAAATGTCAACAGGTCGCACTGCAGCAGCCTGTAGAATATACACAGACCCCAAGTGTGAGACTCAATAGCTGACTTAGCTCCACACTTGCAGAATTAGCTCCATTACAGCTTGCCACTAACGCACTTAATTCATTAGCTCCCCCGCCTCTCATTAGTCTATAATCGCCGAAGCTTAATTTATCTATGAAATTCTATCCTCCAATACTCTGTATGTTCAATCATATAATCATTAGTTCAGAAATAGTATTTCTTGGGCCATGAGAATAATCTTGGGATTATTCTCATGGCTTCATTTTCTACCTTCTCCAATTTGTTTAGTCTGCCTTTACCAAAGCAAGAAGTGACAGAGGCAGCATAATCAATAAGAGATCTCACAGTATGCCATGTGATTACCAATGGAATGCGACATATAGAACATGATCAATAATTGTGTACTGTATGGGTTTGTGAGCCCCTTGAGGGACCTCATATAGACGAGGGTAGAAATGGCCTAAGCTACTCTATCCTTTTGAGATGTACTTCCTTTTCTCAATAAACGTAATTGAACTTTAACTAACGCACTGAAGAACAGTGGAGGAGTAATTTACTGTGATAGAAAGTCAGTTCTTCAGGCTCCTAAAACCCCAACATGTAAAATAGACACTAGGAATGTTGTAACATCCATTATAAACAACATTATTAATGCAAAGAGCAAGAGTTTGTCTCATTTGTAGGGATACCATCATTCCGTCAATGGTGAATATTCCAATTGTAAACTATGTGAATAAGAGCGAGGGCATACTTTTCCACACTATATCTGTGATTGCCCTGTTATCAGTGATTTCTGACCAAATGGTATGAGGTACTTTAAGCTCATACATTCACGAATAATGGAAGATATTCTTGTGTTGTACCCAGAGTTTGCTAGTGGAGGCTAATAATAGATCAGCCTTACATTTTATGTTCTCTCCTGATTCCAAGTATGACTAACCATCCTGTGAGATAAAGATATTAGCTAGGTTTTGATTTACACTTTGTAATCTGTCATACATAATAGGGTAGCAGCACATTGCCGTGTATACCTAAGCTTGTTAATAAAAAACAAAGTCTAGTCATTCAGTGTATTTCCCTGCCATAGGTATTGCTTGGGTCCGTAATAAACTAATCATGCTAGAAAAGTTTTGTTAATTACAATAAGAACATCCCCTGTACTTGTGTAAAGGGGGAATTGTATATGTTAATCTCTCAGAATGTTTGGCAATATGTTTATTGTTTGTGATGTGTGTGTATATATGTATGAACACGATGTACTGAACGGGGTGAGAATAGCTTGAGCTACCTCATCTCTTTGTGTGTATTTTACCTCAATAAACTTATTTCAATTTCAATTCAATTTCAACATCCCCTGAACTGTATTTTCTCAACTGTGTGGACGATCGTATAATTGTCGACGTGATGGACAAATAGAAAGTAGAATTTGGTATTTGTTTTATAGTCCGAAAAAATACTGTATAGTTAACAAATTCTGTTATACAAAAATCTACTTTCTTTTGGTCCAACACATCCATATTAGTATGTTTGACGACATCGTAAATATAAGTACTTAAATTTTAGGATGATGGGCTGATTTTTTTCTTATTACCTAAAATATATAATGCGTTCCATAGCCTATAGCATGAGAGGAGAATACTGTGTGTGGTGAAGGCAGTTTGTGTGAGAATTACCTCTTTCTATGAGGCTCGACTGTAGCCGAATGCAAATTAAAGAAAACGAATTCAACGTCTGGTACTACGTGCAGGGGTAACTAATCAATGTGTGTTTATCTACATTATTCTCTCCCTGTATAATAATAATATTTATAAGATACGCAAGAAAGCAGATTGCAGTGATTGCCTAGTGAGTATAGTACTTGAACATATTGTAGCAACTAAATTAATTAATTAATGATTTATTTATTTATGTATTTATTAATTAATGTATTTTATAGCAAATTAGGTATACACAGTAATATGCTTTACCCTATTCTGTATGAGATATTACACAGTGTAGATCAAGAACTAGCTACAGGTTCAACTCCGTGGTGTAGTGGTAAGACACTCGCCTGGCGTTCTGCGAGCGCATAGTCATGGGTTCGTATCCTGGCCGCAAATCCTTAACTGTAGCCTCTGTTGTTGTTGTTGTTGTTATAGATTCAGCTACTCGGAACAAGTTCCAAGTAGCACGGGCTATGGTGAGCCAGTAACTTACCTGGCACAGGAGCGGGGCAAGTAGCACGGCTATGGTGAGCCCGTAACTTACCTGGCACAGGAGTGGGGCAAGTAGCACGGGCTATGGTGAGCCCGTGGTGGACTTACCTGGCACAGGAGCGGTGCTCTGTAGCCTCTTTTTAACTCAACAGTAAAAGGAGTACTTGGTTGTAACAACGATTCTTCGCGAGGGTCGTATCCCAGGGACCATAGGATTAAGAACTTGCCCAAAACGCTACGCGTACTAGTGGCTGTACAAGAATGTAACTTGTATATATCTAAAAAAAAAAAAACTATTATTCCCTACTCACAGGATGGTTAGTCATACATGGAATTAGGGGGGAGATAATACCTGCTTTAATACAAAAACAAATCAACTATGACTAAAAATCAGGAGAGAACATTAAATGTAAGGCTGATCTATTAGCCTCCACTAACAAAATCAGGGTAAAGCATCTTCCAATATTCCTGAGTGTATGAAGTAATTACAGAGCTCAAAATACCTCATACCGTTGGGTCGGAAGTCACTTATAACAGGGCAATCACAGATATAATGTTGATGGATATGTCCCAGCTCTTGTTCACAGTTTACAATGTGACTGTTCACCATTGGGGGGAGTCATTACCTGCAGCCACCTGCCATAGATATCAA